AAAACCCTATAATGGATTCACCAGCTTTGGCATACAGCTGGGACATGATTTCTATGAAGGGGAGATGAGACCATCGATGTTTGAATGAGAGATCAAAGACAAACTAAAAGAAACCCAAACCTAAATTAACTCGAATCGAAGGTAACCGAATAAAATATAACCTGAATAAAAAACAACCTAACTCGAAGCAACTCGAATTTAATTTATCCAAATTCGATTCAAAGCGGACATCAACCCAATTATTAACCCCATAATTGAGTTATTATATTTTCAGTGATGTGATAATTAATAAAATGGTGCATGTTTTATTCTCTTTGTGTATTATATTACTAGTTATTCATCATCTTTGATATTAGTTTAAGGATTATAAAATAAAGTTACTTAGTATTAGAGTTTTATTTTATGTTATTAACTTTAATTGACATCACTTAGACGATATATTATGATTAATTTAAAATATATATTTTAAAATACTTCAAATAGAAATTCTAATTTAATTCGAGATATAAAACCTATTTCAAAATCTTACGTGTATATTTATATTTTATAATTTAAAATCATGTATTTCTTTCATATATGTTTGATTTAAAGTGAACCTATATGAGAAAAAAACATGATAACTAAAAAAATAAGAGGAATCATTTTGATTTTATTTGTAATTCTATTCTCTAAAAAATATTATTAATTAATTATAATTTATTAACGGTTAACTGATGGTAAACCATTTTGGGACTTGTAATGTATCGGGCTTGTATTTTGCTCTGTAATCCATTTTGGGCCTGCGGTTGAACGCTATTTGCTGGGCCAGACGAACTTGTTTTCTTGATCAGTTCGGCTTTGAGTTTCAATTGTTCTAGGGCCTCAATAATGGACTCCCAGCTGGATTTTGTTGAACATGGACCATAACTCTTCGGCACTGAACTGGAAACTTTCCAATCCTGACCATATCTCACAATCCCATCTATTTTCTCTCTCAAATTTCCGAGGCGGCAATCAAATCTTCATCTCCACCATACCCGTGCTTCTGCTGTACAGCTTCAAATATTGAGTTCATATGCCTTCGAGCTTATAATCTCTTTGATTGGTTAATGCTTGATTTCTGAAAAAGAAAGGTAAACGATGGGAAAAACTTCGTATTGCTCTCTCTGTAAAAACGAAAGGGAAGCCCCCCCCACCCACATTTACATCCTATTCGTTGGGTTTTTATATAACCCTTTACCAATTGAAAAAAACAACAAAACCAATTATAATCCTCTCTCTTTTCTGTTTTTTTTTTGTTGCCTAGGATGAATGATTCTTTTTCCCGTGCGAGGTCGTTGGAGGTGTTGAGAAAAGGGGACAACTGGCTTTTCTGGAAGGAACTTCTGGAATAATGGTAATGAGGCGCGGTGGTTGCTGTGGTTGCTCACGTGGAGGAGAGAGACCGGGACAAAATTGAGGTATAACAAAGGTAAAGCAGGTGCAAAGCATTTCTCTTGGTATAAAATTTGGGATTTATTTTCATGATCTTTTATTGATTTGGGGTTAGAATTTATGGTTGCATATGGGCAGCTGGGGAGGCGTGGCTCGGTGGTCAGAGAATAGTTGGAAAGGAAGGGATGAGTAGGAGATTTTGGTGAGGGTAAGGTTGAGACCTGAAAATGGAGATTGTGGAGAGATTAGTGTTGGAGCAATGTTCGAAATTGGAGGAGATTGATAGTGAGGGAATTTAGGATTAAGGGGTGGTTTAAATCACATTGGATTTTACTTCAAAATCTGTAATTTAGCAAGCAAGATTACATATTTTCATAATCATGATAAAACCCCACGATGAAAATGCATCAAACCCAGATTTTTTTGACATAATAATTGCATGCATCAAAAAGAGGGGCAACTCCAGCATGTCGAAGAAGAAGATGGGTAGCTTCAGCATGTCCGCCAACCAGTGGCTGTCATTAGAGGTCCATCACCGCCGACGAAGCTAACCATTAAACCCAACAAAGGTAAATCAAGTGTAAAACATTTCTCTCGATGTAAAAAAATAGAATTTATTTTCATGATTTTTTTATTGATTTGAGGTTAGGATTTATGGGTTGACATGGACAGCTGGAGAGGCGTAGCTCGGTGGTCGGAGAATGGTTGAAAAGGAAAGGACAAATCGAAGATGCTGGTAAAGGTGAGGCTGAGGCTGAGGCTGAGGCTGAGGCTGAGGCTGAGGCCTATGAGGGTGGGGGGTGGTGTTCCGCAATTTTCCCCATATTTGGAATTTTGTTGGGTTTCTTCTCATCTTTATCAATTATGATTTTTGACGGTGGCTTGAGGGCGTTGGCGTTGGCGTTGACACCGTGGGGAGCGATAAAGGGTTTGAATTAGGATTCGTCAGTATAATCTCTCAGTTGGTAGCTCTCAAATTGATGTTGGGGCATCCTATTATTCTATCCTCTTATCTTATTATATATGAAAATAAAGGTCAATAATTTTTTTAATCTCTTATTTACGTTTATTTTTAGTCATTTTTTTCTGACCTGAAAAATCACACTTTAAAAAAATAATATAATATTATCATGTTATAATACTGTTAAAAAATTAACTGTCTAGTGACTAAAAAATCAAATATATAAAATTAAGTAAATAAATTAAAAAGATTAAAAGTACAATAAATAAAATAAGAGAGAGACTAAAATTCAATAATAAAATTTATAATTTACCCTTAAAATAAAAATTATTTGACAACCAAAATTTTATTATAATTTGATAACTTGATGCATACAATTATTGTTACACATAAAATGACATATAAACGTTAAAAGTTTTTGTTTTCATAATTTAGTTATTAACGAGGATATTCAATCAATACTTTTAATAAATCATTTTATGCATAAATATTGGAGTTAATTGTATCTTATGTCATCAAAGTATGACCCTTATTTTAAATTGGTCCCTAAACTTTTAAATATTCTAATTCATCCTTAAATTATGACTATCATTCTAAATTAGTCCATAAATTTTTGAATATTTCAATTTCATCCCTAAATTATGATCTTCATTCTAAATTGGTTCCCAAACTTTTTGAACATTCAAATCTCATCCCAAGTTATACGTATATACTAATCACATCACTTGTTAATAAAATCGTTAGGCCAAACTATATTATTATATGTTTAAAAAAAACAAAATTTAGGTTAAAACTATGATTGAAACTAATTACATATTTGGATGAATTTTAGAATGAAAATAGAATATTTAAAAGTTTAGAGACTAATTTATAAATATAATCATAATTTAGGGATATAATTAGAATGTTTAAAAGTTTGAAGATTAATTTAAAATGACAGTCATAGCTTGGGTATAAAATTAGACATGAGGGTCATAGTTTGAAGATATATAATGCAATTAACTCTAAATATTGCAACATTTATTTTAACTGTTATACAACATAATATTTAAAAGTTTAAAATCTAAATTCACTAACTTTAACAAGTCGAATAGTCTTTAATTACATAATTTAAAAAAAAAATATCTAATTATTCAAGTAAATAATCCTATTAACAACAATTCATATCAAAAGATTTTTTTTAAGGATTGAATTTAAAATTTTCCATTGTAATTGATCGAGATGTCGCATTTGTCACTAAAACTTTTAAATATGACCCACAAGATATCCAGTGGTTGGCGATAACACCCAAAAATCACTCTGACGCACTTTATTTACCTGTCAGACACCTTTTGATCTTTATTTACCGATCTAACACTCTTTACAAAAAGGTGCGGCCTATGCACCGTGCCTTAAGTTGAACTGGCGCCACGTGGGGTAAGACGCGGCTCATTCACCGCGACTTGTAAAACGTGTAAAAAACCGGATGTTAGTTTTGTAAATATTTTTAAAATACTGCCTATTATGTAATTAATTTACGTTAGGGTGATATTTGTGTTAAAACGTCAACTTTATTTATTTATTTTGTGTGTGAAAAAAAACTTTCTACATTAAATTCTTTTACAAATTATTTTATAACTCTATAAATTTTGATTTTTGCATAAAATTACACAATACGTATAATCTAATATAGAAAAACTTGGGTAAGTATTTTAAAATATGAATAATTTTATAAAAGTTTTATAACTAGTATTTCTTTTAGAAAATGATTATGATGATGATAATAAATGTATTATAATTTAAAAATTATAAATTTCATATATTTTTGAAAAATTTATTGGCTTTTAAAATTATTTGTTTAAAAACATTAAAATAAATTTTTAATTACAATTGAGGGATCAAATGAATTATTATTAATTAATTATTATTTTTAACAACAATTAATAATGTTTATTCATTTTTAATAAAATTATTTTGATTTTTTGCATGAAATTACACAATACATATAATCTAGTATAGGAAAACTTTGAGGGTAAATATTTTAAAATATGAATAATTTTATAAAAGTTTTATAACTAGTATATCTTTTACAAAATGATGATGATAAATATTTTATAATTTAAAAAATTATAAATTTCATATATTTTTAAAAAAATTATTGACTTTTAAAGTTAATTGTTTAAAAAATATTAAAATAATCTTTTAATTACAATTAAAGGATCAAATGAATTATTATTCATTAATTATTAATTTTTAACAATATTTAATAATATTTATTCATTTTTAATAAAATTAAAATTTAATATTTTTTAATATTTTTTTAAAATTAATATTAGAAAAATAATCCTCAATGAGTTGATATTTTTTAACTTTACATTCTTTTTTTATTAAATTTTATTCACTTTTAATTTTTTTATTACATTTTTATTGATTTTTAAAAAAATTAAATAATAATTCATTTTATCTCTCAATTATAATTAAAAGTTTATTTTAATATTTTTATATTTTTAAACAATTAATTTTAAAAATCAATAAACATTATTAAATGTTGTTAAAAAATAATATCACACAAAAAATAAATAAATAAAGTTGACATTTTTATACAAATATCATCCTAACAGAAATTAATTACATATTAAGCATCATTTTAAAAATATTTATAAAACTAAAACCCGATTTTTTTCTCGTTTCACAAGGCGCGATGCATTGGCCAGGCCTTATGCTACATTGCGTAAGGCACGGTGCATGGACCGCGCCTTCCTGCAAAGGGTGTTAGAACGGTAAATAAAGATGAAAGAATGTCTGTCAGGTAAATAAAATTAGTTAAGGTGATTTTTGGGTGATATCGCCCCAGTGGTTTCCCAAACTGTAAGACAAAACACAAAAAACTTAAATTAGAATACAAAACAAAAAAAAGCATGAAAAACAATATTGTTAATAAAAAACCAAAAACTGAAATTAATAACAATCAAACTAAGTTAAAAGAGATCTATGATACAAATTAGTAACTTAGTTCTTTTATAGTTTAATAAAAACAAAATAATTAAATATTAGTCATCAAGATTAACATTTGAAGATAAATATGGATTTGGTACCATAAATGATACCTTTATCTGCAAAATCTCCAATCTTTCTTTGATATAAGGGCATCTCAATACAGACTTCAAAACGACCAGATCTACGTTCAATACAAAATTAATTAATAAATTTTCGAACACCAAATATTATCCGACAAATAAAAGGAAAAAAAAGGCAATAACATTTTAATATATAGGAATACTAGTAGTAGCAAAGCTAACATTAACAAAGAAAGTCTATTACATGTAAATAAAACTAAAATAACATTTTAATAAAAGATAAATTATAAATTTGGTAACTGAACTCTACTCTCTCTCCTATTTCGCTCATTGTACTTTAAATCTTTTCAATTTCCTCACTGAACTTAATACATTTGATTTTTTTGATCACTCAGCCGTTAAATAGTTAATGGCGTTAAAATGGGCTGTTATATATATGCAAAATGACATCGTTTTGGTGAAAATTTTGTTTTTTTAAAATGACGTCGTTTTTAGCGTCGTTAACTATTTAACGACGGAGTGACTAAAATAAAAGAAAGTGAAGTTCAGTGACAAAAAACCCAATGTATTAAGTTTAGTGAGGAAATTTAAAACTTTTAAAATTCAGTGAGCAAAATAAGAGAATAAAGTTGAGTAATGAAATTTGTAGTTTACCTTTAATAAAATGTATTCTCTGATGGCCTCAGACTAGCCAATTTTAAACCTTAAATTTAAACCTAATGTTCGTGAACTAAACAAGATCAACTCTCATAAACAACAAAAGAAGAAAATTAAAGGTAAATACATAAAAACATATGCTGTACCTTAAAATATAAGGATCAATTAAATCTATCCTATTTGTTGTACCAATGACAAGAATATTGTCCAAGCCATCAGGATCATTGATCTGAAAAGAATTAACCCTTACATTAATACGAACATAAATAAAATAAATTAAAATAAAATAAAATAGTAGTGTTTTTAAAGCAAAATTATTTTTCATACCATCGAGAATAGTTGATTTACAAGTGTATCTCTCCACTCTGTACAACGTCCATCTTTTCGCTGTACATAAAATGTATTTTTCCCAATAGAAGACTTAATTGTATTCCAAACAAAAGATAAATATAAAATTCAAATGGTAAATAGAAAAGTAAAAATTATTTACCTTGGCAATTAAATCAAGATCATCAAATATAATTACATGTATCCTACTGTTATTTCCTGAAAGAAAGAAAACCAATAGTAGTGATATACTATTACTTTATAAGCAAAAGCAAGTTCATATAAATGTGCTAAATTTTAGATTTTGTACCATGTATTTTGAAGTCTCTTTTAGCGTCTTCAAATATTTCCATAACCACTCGTCGAGACTCTCCACCGTCTTCATTTAAAACTCCCGGTCCTCTGATGATCTGCTTATAAATATAAGATTTCGTAACATAATCCTTGGTACTAGGATCGACTGAGGAGAGACGGGTAGGGGCAGTCGTTCATATGTAGTTTTAAAATTCTTCTATATTTTATATTTTTTCTTTGTATTTCCTATTAATAATTTATTTTCGCCCCTAAAATTTTATGAATTCATTCCTCTAACGTAAAATCATGTACTAAAATACAAAAACGATGATCTACTTATAAACATTACCTTTGCTCTTTGATTGCTCAGATGAAGAGAAATTACATTTGAAAGAGCTGTCTTTCCAGTTCCAGCGGGTCCGTACAAAAGCAACCCCTTGGTATATCTTACTTTCAGTCTGGAAAAATGTAATAGTCAAATTAATAGCAATAACAATAATAAATATTAGGCTTAAGAGTTACCTTTGTCTCTATAGTAGACTCGATTTATCATTTAATCCTTAAAGTTGTTTAATTGAATCATTTTATATCATACCTCTAACTTGCTCTAAACCCTAAATCATAACCCATAATCCCTAAACCATAAACCTTAAGACATAAAACTATCATTTTAGGGTTTTAAGTCAGGAATATGGTACAAAATGATGTAATTGAACAATTTCGAGACTAAATTGAATGACCAAACATATGATTTACGTTAATTATAAGAACAATAATAAAATTAAATACCCTTTTTCAAGCATCTCAGGAGGAATAGCACGCTGTAAAATCAGTCGACGATAGATTTCATCATATTGTTTCTGCAACCCACCTAAGCCAGCTGATTCGAGATCTAAAATCAATCGACGATAAATTTCGTCATATTGTTTCTGCAACCCACCTAAACAACCTAAACCACCTGATTTGAGATCTAAATTCCAATTCTGTTTTTCAATCAAAGAAAATAAGTCAATTTTATGAATCAATTTAGAACAAGAACTATGAACATAAAGAACATAAACTTACAAAAACCATCGATTTTGTGAACTTGAGATTGGTATTTGGAGATACCATTCCCCTTTCTCTGCTCAAAGCTGTGACCCAAATCTTGTATTCTTTTCCCTCGATTTCTATAAGAATTTTCTGTGATTTTAATAATAACCTGATAATGATAAACAAACGGAGATTATTATTTGGATTTTGGGTGTTCTGATCATACAAAGGCAAATCGATTTTCAGATAGAAAATTGACCTGTTTTCTGAGTTTTTTATGTAACTTTTTCTTCAACGCATCTGACATGGGTGGATATACTTCCAACTCTAAGCTTTCGAGAGTAAAATCTCTCCGAGGCTGAGAAAATTGATGAAGGAGGATCGGATCTCCTTCCCTAATTCCTAAACATTCCATTTGTGTAGCATTCATCGCCACACAATCATCCGCTATTGACTTATCTCCTCTCACAACGTAAACAAAAGGAGGTCTGCCAATTGCACCGATGAACGAGAAATTAGGTTTTGCAGAAGTCGAAAACCCTATAATGGATTTACCGGCATAAACAGAATTTGTAGCAGATCCATTGTATTTGACTGCTTTGGCATACAGATGGGACATGATTTCTTTGAAGGGGGAGATGAGACTATCGATGTTTGAATGAGAGATCAAAGACGACGAACTGTTCGAGATGGGTGTTATGGCGTCGGCTGGTTAATTTTATAACCAGACAGAATCCTTGGGTTAGAAGGACTCTTAAGCTAAGATTGGGAAGCTCATTTATTTAGATTTTTTATTTCAGTTATTTAATTATTTTTTTCAAAAATCATATTTAATTTATTTTTTAACCAATTTATTTGATTTTATACTCGATATAGACCCGAACATGATGACTTAAATTTGATTTTAAACACACTGAACCAAACTTGACCCAATTTTTAGTTGAATTGACGAAGACCTATATCAAATTTAACCCGAATAGAACCAAAATCGACTCAAATGTTAATTGGATCGATATAAACTCGTATCCAATTTGACATGAAACAAAAGTAACTGAAACCAAAAACAACCCAAATTAAAAGAAACCCAAACCAAAATTAACTAGAACAAAAGCAACACAAACAAAATATAACTTGAATCAAAATCAACCTAAGTCGAAAGTAACTCGAATTTAATTTACCTATATTCGATTCGAATCGACATCAACCCAATTATTAACCCGATAATTGAGTTAAAATAAATAAATAATTTATTATTATATTTTCAGCAATGTGATAAATACTAAAATGGTGCATGTTTTGTTCTCTTTGTGTGTTATGTTACTAGTTATTTATCACCTTTGATATTAGTTTAATGGTTCAATGTCATATTTTCTCATTTAAAAGATTATCTTCATATCCGATCCGATAATTTAAAAAAAATTATAAAAATGATTATAAAATAAAGTTACTTAGTATTAAAATTTTATTTTATGTTGTTAACTTTAATATAATTAAAAACATTATATTTTATAATTAAATATTTTACTTAAAAAGATTATCTGCATATTAGTTTAATGGTGCATGTTAGTATTAAATATTTTATTTTGTGTATTAAAACATTATTTTTGTGTTAGTATTAATTTTACTTTAATATAAATAAGGTTACTTAATATTAAAATTATTTAAACTAATATTTATTCTAATATAATTATTTTATTATTATTTTCTAAATTTAATAAAAACACATATTTATAATTAAATATTAATTAAATTTTTATAGCAGCTGCTTCCCCAACAATACGGCTGGTTCAAATCCATCAACAGCCCACAAGCAAAGCCATCACCGGCAGTTAGACCTAGAAAAGGGAAATGAGAAGGTGTCCCATAGATGGCTGCAGCATTTGATCCATAGCAGGTTACAAGATGTGAACCCATCAGATTTCGAACCACAGAAAACCGGACCATTCTCACCATAAGAAACGGCAATTCTAGACATCGAGCCTAAACCAGAAACTACCCACCATAGATTTAACAAAGCCACAAGTGAGACCCTGACACAGAATTCTCTAATCACTAAGCTGAAAACTCCCGTTGCAGCAGAAGATGAACCAACATTGCGTGCTTATCTTTTTTCACAACCGAGTTCATATGATAAAATCAGTAAAGATTACAGTCTCATGAAGCATTTGCAGCATAAAGTACCGCTATGATTCCCAATTTCCCATCATGAAAATGAGACCAAAACCAGGAAACAGAAGCTCATTACCTAAAAACCAAGATAGAACTACCCCTTGAGAAAGTTTTTTAGCACGGAAACCGAGCGTTTTCACTGTTCCTCAGTGACATTCATCATTTCTGCAATTTTGGGTCACAAACAAGTGAAAGAAAAATGAAGCTGTTTGCTGAGAAGCCTTCATACTTTTAGCTTTGCGTGTAGTTTCTTGATAGAGAATGTAAATGGGAAAACACATTCAAAAGAAGAAGAAAATTGACAAGAAATCTAGTGAAGAAGGAAAGTAGACGATGGGTGGTGTAGTTTTCTTGCAGGGAAGAATTGTAGTGAGAAAGGGAAAGAGAGTTTTTGAACAAGTATATGGAGAGTCGGAGCATGAAGTGAGAAAAATATTTGAAGATGCCAGTAGATTTTAAAATGCATGGTACAAAATCTTATATTAAATTACTATTGTTTATTAAGTAATAATATGTCATTATTTTGTATTTTGTATTTTCAGGAAAGAACAGTAGGATACATGTGATTGTATTTGATGAACTCGAATCAATTACCGGGGTAAACATATTTTCCTCTTTTCTCTTTATATTAGTTCAAATTAGATAATGCATTTGATCCATATTAATAGACATGATGTGTAGTTGGTATTTCTATGAAATATATTGGGATTATAATACATATGGTTTGACACAAATTGAAGTTAAATTATATAAATGAATTTACATTGTTTAGGATAAAATTATGGTTATAATTGATTTCGATTTTTTACTTGATTGGGATTATAGTATTGGAATTGCTTAGGTAAAACATGTTTGATTTTGATTTTGAACTTTCATGTAAGCAAGTGACATCATTATCCGTTTTATAACTTTAAAAAAATACATTTTATGTACAAAAAAGAGGTGGCCTTTATACAGAGTCTAGGGATACTGTGGTAAATCAGCTACTGACAATGATATGGAAAATATATTTGTTTTGCAAGCACAAGTTATTTATTTAAGTTTGTATTTGATAAAAGGTGTCATTAATTTTATATTGATGGACCAAATAGCTTAAACAACATTCTTGTTATCGGTACGACCAATAGAAAATATTTGATTGATTATGTTCTTATGTTTCTCCCTTCAATTTGCTATTTTTTTGGAATAATAATTACTATAATTGTGCATTTGAGTAATTACTATGTATCTAATTTTGCTTTGCTACTACTTGCATTCTCCCCCAAAAAAAAATATCAAAATAATATTGGTTTCTTTATTTGTTGGATAATATTTGGTGATGAAAATTTATTTAGTAAATTATCACTGAATGTAGACCTGGTCGTTTTGAAGTCTATATTGAGATGCCCTTACCGAAAATCCAAGAAAGATTGGAGATTTTGCAAAAAATAAAATAAAATAATTTTGGTTTCTTTATTTGTTGGATAGTATTTGGTGATGAAATTTATTTAGTAAATTATCATTGAATGTAGATATGGTCGTTTTGAAGTCCATATTGAGATGCCCTTACCGAAAATCCCTTTTTATCATCTGATGTTGATCTTAATGAGATAGGTATTTAATTATTTTATTTTTATTGAACTGTAAAAGGTTAAGTTATTAATTTAGACCTTATATCTTTTAAGTTAATTTGATTTTCATTCATTTTAACTTTTACTGTTTTATTAACAGGATTAGTGCTCATGTTTTTTGTTGGGAATAACAGTCTTTCACGCTTTGTGAAGTTAAGATAGACACTTAGAAATTGAGGATAGTAAAGAGAGTACAAGAATATAATTCTCCAATTTGGAGATTCTTCTAATATACAAAAGAATAGTAGGATTACAAGGATGTGTTCACAAAATTTGACTCACACTTGATGGCTCACTCAGCTTGAGGATAAAGACATCCCAAGCCATCTCTCTTCTCTCTCAAGGAGACTCTCTAACTCTCTAGTTTCTCACTCTAAGAAGTGGATTCTCGTAGTATTTTTGGATAGTTAGAAATGAAGTCTCTCGCCCCTATTTATACTACTCCACCTCCACATTGAATGGTGGAGATTACTTATATCCAAGGGTGGAGATTGATTATCTAGAATGCTCAACACACTCTAAGAAACTCTACACTCTTTCACTCCCTTCCATATTATTCCATACTCTTCCATTAGATTCCACACATCTCCAGAATATTTTAAAGGATTCCACACTCTTCCACAAGCTTCTAGAGAGTTCTACACTTCTCTAGAGTTCTCCGAAAAATTCTAGAAAATTATACACTTCTCCAGAAAACTCTAGAATTTTCTAGAACCTCTCCAATTAAGGAGGGATCCAACAAATTCCAAGCTGCCAAATCCCTTTTTATCATCTGATGTTGATCTTAATGAGATAGGCATTTTTTTTATTGAACTGTAAAAGGTTAAGTTATTAATTTAGACCTTATATCTCTTAAGTTAATTTGATTTTCATTCATTTTAACTTTTAGTGTTTTATTAACAGGATTAGTGCTCATGTTTTCTGGTTTTTTATTTTGATGTATATTTTGTGCGTTTTGTCGAGCAGTTAGGCAAACCACTGGATTCTCCGGGGCAGATTTAGAAGCAGTGGTTATGAATGCTCAATCTCGAGCATAGTATCGCAGCATTGAAAATCTGATTGTTTCTATGGAAGATTTTAAGTTGGCACTGAAATACATGAAAACCACTGATCAATTCACTTCAAAGAGGTAATATAATTAATATGATATTTGTTATTACTAAAATAAAGATTTGCTATATGTATTTGTATAACAAATTTGTAATGTAAAAAAATAAGGAAACCTGAAATGATTGACTAACTTACCTGAGCATAGGGAAGTCTATCAAACTGTAAAACAATCAGTTTAAGATTTACAGGGCAACATGTATTATTCTAGTACCATTCTTTTAGAAGGCTTGCGGGGCACGTGAGTAATGATAAAACTACAAATTCTCTAATTTTCTTTTTATTTTTTATTTTTTAATCTTAATTGTTTTTCCACTTGGTTTATCTGAAACAACGGTAAAAGTTTCATTGCAGCAAATATTGGATCAACATATAAATTTGATATTGTTAAAAGTTTAATTGCAGCAAGCTGTAGCCTTATCTTAGGAAACTCTTAAGTTAGGAAAGAACATAATTCTAGGGAAAGATGTAATTTTTTAAAGTTAGAGATTGTAAGTACTAAAAGATATCTACAAAATCCTATCTAATTACTCATAATATTCTTAATCTATTTGCTGACACTCTTCTTCGAGCTAGGGAATGGCTTCATCTGCAGCTTGCTTACTAACTTCTAAAAATCGACTGAGGTGTGTTTTATGCATTATTCATTCATTTTCAAAGGTTGATTTAGGCATACTAGGCCTGTAAACGAACCGAACGAACACGAACGGGGTATGTTTATGTCCGTTCGTTTAACTTTAGCCGAACAAATAAACGAACACGAACAAAAACGAACAAAAAATTTCTTGTTCATGTTCGTTCGTTAAGGAATGTAGCTTGTTAGTGTTCGTTCATGTTCGTCCATTTAAATAATGAACAAATACAAATGAACGAATATAAATGAACTGATGTAAACGAACATAAATGAACACAATAAACAAACGTTAACGAACACAAACAAACGAATGTAAACGAACACAATAAATGAACATAAACTAACATAAATAAAAATATATATTTTTTCTTTCCTAACAATTTTAGTATTATATTTTATTTAATTATTTTGAGCTTTTTTTATTTGTATTTAAAATTATTCGAATTTTAAAATATTTATGGGTATCAAATTAAAATTTATTGTGTTTTAATATTTTAAATGAGTTTAGAGAGATTGGGCTAAACTTAAACGAACGCACATAAACGAACGTAAATGAACGAACAAGTAATATGTTCATGTTCGTTCATTTAATTAAACGAACACAAAATCTTGTTCATGTTTGTTCGTTTAATAAATAAACGAACATATATATGAATTTTATTATAATATATGAGTAATGGAAAAAGTATATAATATTTTTTATTTTTTAATATATATATGAATTTTATATATTTAAACTCAAATTATTTTTTAAAATATTATTTTTTTGAGATTTTTTTTTTATTTTTAGTAGTTTTTTATTTTTACTATTAACATTAATGGTCCATTTTTACTAATTCAATTATTCTAAATTTATATAAAAATTAAAAAAATTACACTATTTTGAAAACTAGAGGAAAAGAGCAGTGCTTGTCGCTGTCATTGCTGAGTGCTGACTAAAAGAACAAAAACTATCCTTTTCTTGTGACCAATAATTCCCCCGAAAGACCAAAACCCGAAGCCTCTAAATTTCTCAACTTCCTTACATCTATGCTTTAGTATAAGGTTTCTTTCCAGGAAAGAGTTGTAAATTCCAACTGGGGTTTTGATAAATTTTGAAGCTTTTAGGGTTTGTTGGAGGGTTTTTTTGTTAATTTTGAAAGATCGAGATTGTTTGTTTTGAGAAATGGGAAGTAGAAAAGAAGAAGAAAGAAACGAGAAGATCATAAGGGGTCTTATGAAATTACCTCCTAATCGTCGTTGCATCAACTGTAACAGCTTGGTAATTTTTTTTTCAAACTTTTTTTTGAGGAAAAAAAGCTTTTGGTTTGTGGGTATTTTGTAGTTCAGTTGTTGTTAGAAAGGCTGGAAGTACATGGTAAAATGGGAAGAAATGGTTTCTGTAATTGGGTTTCCTTCTCTTGATTGTTCTGTTATAATTAGTTTGACTGCCGCTTTGATAGTGAAAAAGAAGATAGATTTGGGGTTTACAAATGGGTTTTTGAAATTGGGTTTTCTTTACTCTTGAATGCAATGCATCTCTTTATAGTGATTTTGAAGATTGTAAATCAGCTGCTTTGAAAAGAGTGTTGATATTTGCTTTGTTGTTTCTTTTTGTATCTACTGAATATAATAGATTTCAAGTTATTGTTGCAGGGTCCTCAGTATGTTTGCACAAATTTCTGGACTTTCATTTGCATGACCTGCAGTGGGATTCAGTGAGTATTTTGTTTTAGTTATTTCGAAGTATGTGACTTCATTAATGCGATGTTATTTGAATTTGGTTGTGACTATCGGATACGGGTATGTATCCGACACGGGTATGGTCAAGGTTTTCCATGTATTTGGAAGATCTATGCGTGCTACATGATCATATATCCATATCCGTGTGTCGGATATGAGTGTTGGACATGGATACTTAAAGAAATAAAGTGTAGGTGCAACATAGGATTCATGCATTATGATTTTTGAAAGTTAAGGTTCTTGCAACTCCAGTAATTGTTCATGTGATGTTTTTTAAGTTTCCTTAACTGAAAGGAGTTAATTCATTGTTTTTTTTCCAATTTGGGCCATGATTGTTCATTCGTATTTACTTTGCATGATTATGATGGAGTGACACTACATCACAGAATCGAGCCTTTCAAATCTACCTTTTTTTTTCTTATGCTGGTGTTCATTTGCATTCATATTTATTTGTATTGCAGTCGTGAGTTTACTCATCGTGTAAAGTCTGTATCAATGTCAAAGTTCACTTCACAGGAAGTTGAAGCTCTTCAGAGTGGTGGTAATCAGGTTTGAAAACGTGTTGCTCTTTTTTTGTATCTATGGCAAGATTTCGACACTTAATTTAATGCTTTAAGTTCTTTGTTTTATTCTTTTTAGCGTGCAAGAGATATTTATCTTAAGGATTGGGACCTGCAGAGGCAAAGATTGCCGGACAGCAGGTGCAGAATATGTTATTTTACCTGAAAGTATAGGCACGTTCTTGATAGATATGGGGTTTTCTAATAACTCCTTCTCATTGCAGCAATGCTGATAAAATCCGAGAGTTTATAAAGAACGTATATGTGGATAGAAAATACGCTGGAGGAAAAACGCATGACAAGCCACCAAGAGACATGCAGGTTAATTTCTTCGTATTTTATATACACAGCTGTTCAAACTTTCAATTCTTTGAATTCAAAACTTTTGCTAAACCTTAATGCTGCTTGAATCTTTTCCTAAATCTAATTAGAAAGTGAAACAAATACGATTGTGGATCATTTCATACGAGGTTGAACTTTCTAATTTATATATTCCTAAAATGACTTCAGCTTTAGCTTTTCTTTATTTATAAAAAAAACTTTTTGTGAATAACGGAATTACTCTTTTCATTAATAGCCATCACCCACCTCTTGATATTAGCATTTCTACATGCTTGTCTCTCAGTTTTATTTGAATACATTTCTCTAGATCCTAGAGCAGTGGTTTAAATGTGTTATTCTTAAATGAATTTGACAGTCTCAGAGAAATCATGAAGATGAAATGAGACGTGCCAGTTCTTATCATTCTTATTCTCAAAGTCCACCATATGACAATCAATACGAAGATCGGCGTTATGGAAAACAAATTGCTGCTGCACTTTCTAGGAAACCTGGTTCAGATCGAGGGCACTACGTGGGGAAAGTTTCTAGTTTCGTCTACAGTCCTGGTCGCTTAAGTGATCAAACGTTTGAGGATAGGTTTGCAAATGAGGGATCTGCTCCTAGGGTTTCAGACTTCTCTGTATCTAGTGGAGGTGATCCATTTGCATCTGGCACAGGTTCACCAAATTTCCGGAAGGATGTTGGATTTGGAAGCCCAACTTTTCAATCTCAAAGAGATGTTTTAAGTGAAGATACACATCATCAAATGATTAATCTGTATCCGTCTCAGGACCCGAGTTCCCGAAAAGATGCTGGAGGGATTCCACTGCCACAGGTCGTATCTCACGCTTGTAATTAGTGAGAACTAGTTTCTTTTTAATTCCCTTATCACATCTGAAAATAAGTGATATTTCTGAAGCATTGTTATTGAAACACTATGTTTGCACTCTGGTGGGAAAGTTCCATATGGTGATTATAAATATCAGGAAAAGAGCTCAAACCTTCACGATAAATTGCGTAGCTCTTAACATATGTAAAAACATTGTAGTGGAGCCTGTTTTTGTTTTTAATTCTAAATTCAGGCATGACATATGCATGGTTTACTTTCATTGCTCTACCTATGCATGCACCGTGCATACACAAAGACCTACAAATAAGTTCCCATTTGAGAGATACTATGCGTTTCTTGAAAGTAGTAATGTTATTTTTGCCGACTTTTTGATTGCTGGAATATGAATCTACCCTAGGTTTTAATGCGTCATTATCAAAAGCATGTTAATACAAGTCGGCATGACTATAATGTTACTAAATATGTGGAAAACGTGTTTTCTAGCAAATATAGTTTTTCTTTGCTTTGCTGTAGTTATACATGCTTTATCTTGTGTAATCTTACCGCTACTTTTATATGTTTAATCATCTCATGCTAAAACATTTACTATCACGCAGTCATCTTTTCCCGTGAATTATGGTGGCCTGGATCTCTTTAATACACCTGAGGCTTCTGCTTCTACAACAATAGATTTGTTTCAGTTACCTGCAACATCATCAGTATCTTCCGAAGATTTATTAGAACCTGCAGCAGTATCTGCAAAGCCACCAGGGAATTCATATCAACCTCCTCCATCTACTCCATCTATAGACTTATTTGCTGCGATTACTGAGCAGCAACCGGCTACAACTTTTGATGGAAAATCGCCCGAGTTTCCTGTACCTAAAAATGTAGGATGGGCAACATTTGATACTCCTCAGCCTGCAGCATCTGCTCCAGTAACCAAAAGTCTTTTACCTCCTGCAGTGCCCAGTGATGATGATTTGTCAGGGAAGTTTGACCAACCATCACCCCTAAACACAACTGTGCAGTGGCCACTTTTTGAAAATTCTAGTGTTTTTGGCAATACTTCGACAATTTCTAGTCAATGGCAAGAGGGGCATGACGGTCAAGCCTCCACTTTTGCAACTGGCACTCAGGTAAGCCATTTCACATTGTAACGCATATTGCCTGTCAAATGTATAGTCAAGTGACCCACTGTCTTTAAACAGTCATGGAATGCTTTTAGTGATTTTGCCGAATCACTTCCTGTTGACCCACAAGTAGTGACATACAATCATTTGGCGACCGCCGATGAACGTTCGGGCTTGGCAGTTTCAGAGGGTCGCTATTTTTATTTCCAATGATGCCAAAAAATTGCTTTTCCTCGACTTACGTTTAAAATGTCTGTTCCTGCAGAACCATGATAATGATGGCATCCAAACAGCTGTTTCCCATGCTGGTTTTTCTGCTACTACTCTTCCATCAGAGAACGGCACAGCACCATTATATGCTCCATCGATAAATCCACTTTTGGTTTGTTCTTTTAACTTACCGGCTCTTTTGTTCTTGAGTGCTTATCTGTTTTGAGTTTTGAACTTATTTTGCAGGGAGAAAAACAGCCGCACGCTGCTGATCATAAATCAACCAACCCATTTGATCTTCCTCATGATTCTGAATTGGAACAAAATGATATGGTATATTTCGCATTTTCTTTCCCGACACGATATATTGCATTTTGATTATTCAATATCTTTATACTTTGTTGTTTCAATAAAATTGGCTAATGGTTTATGGCGAATTGCAGTTCTTTGATGCTCAGTTGTCTTCCCCCTTTCTTGGCGGTGTATCACAACCGTGGTATCCAGGGGAGCCTTATATTCCAGCAACACAGCAAGGTAGTTCATGTTGTCTACTTTGGATAAAGAGCCATAATTATTATGTTCATGCTTGGATGATCTCCAAGGCTATATTACTTCGATTTTTCTTTCTTTCTTTGGTTTATTTCTGCAGGTGGCTTTGTCTACATGTCTGGCCAATCACCAAGTTCGCAATTGTCGTAAGTTATTTATTACGTTATCGTCTATTTCATCATCGTTACTACGATTTTCATGATAATAAATGAATAAACAAATAAATAACCGTGCATGGTGCATGATTATATCATATGCTTCGGCAAGTTAAACTTCATTTTCTATATAAACAGGAATGTCCCCTCCCAAGGGCCTGTTGCTTCCATCGGAGGAAACCCTTTCGCGTAGAATCGACCGCCAACAATGGCCTTTTAGTCTTTTTTTCAGTCTAGTAGTCAATCTCTCAGTGCATACATTAGAACTATCCCTGCTGTCTAGTCATTCTATTTTTTCTTCTTTGCGAAAACAATACCATTGTTGAGGCCGAAAATTCCTTTCAGCATTGCGTCTTTAAGGCCTCTTGTTAAGTGACTCGCCGGTCGGAAGCAGTGATGCAGCGTGGAAAGGGTTACAGGGGAGATAGGCTTATGGTGCTTAGGGTGGTAAAGACATGAATGGTAGTGTAATTTGTTTGCAGTTTACTATTTGGATTGTTTTGCTTGCAAATTTGGACAGCATATTTTTGACAGAAACGTAAAATGTGAAACTTTTGGGTAAATTATACAAATGATCATTAATATTATCAACAGGTAATATTTTGGTCACTCATTCAAAATTGCCATTAACCCTTCAACTAAATGATTTGATGGCGACACCTTAACTGAAGGGTTAATACATTAATTATAGCTAGGGTAAAATAAAATATTTAGTACTTAAATTATTATTTTTGTTCCATTTAGGTATCTAAATTCTTTTTTTTTCAAAAAATATATATAACATTTAGTTTATGTTTTAATTTGATATCCGTCGTTAAAAAATTAACAAAATTAGGGATGTGATATTTTCTATTTTTTTAATGATGATATTGTATTACCTTATGATGACATTAACATCCACGTTAAGTTTTTAACATGATATTAAATTGAAACTTAAATTAAATGTTAAGTATGATTTTGAAAAAAAAATGTATTAAAATATAACAAAAATAATAATTTAAATACAAAACACACAGTTTTCCCTTAAAGCTAAAACATCAAATTTGATGCTTTTAGATTTTTTTTCATGATAATTTAAAAAATATATAAAAATCTAAAAAATTATAATTTGACTTTTAAAATTATAAAAAAAAATTGAAATCATAATTACACGTCATTTTTGTCAAAATAGACATAATCCATATTTGTCAAAATGCATTTCCCTCTCTGCAAAGGGACAATAAAGTTAAGTATATACTTCCTGACATATTGTGGTAGCCATGAAGAAAAAGTGAGGAAAATGGTAACAAAAGATAAACCCCCAACGATAAATTGTGTTTTTTAACTGCCACGGTTGAAAATTTTGGTGTGTTAAAAGGGGTTTCGAGAGAACTTAATATAATCACTGATATTCTATTTATTGATAATTTATTTTGAATCAAGAATTATAATGGTCTCTTATAAAGATGATTACCTCAATTTATATTTTTCTTTCGCAACGTTAAAATTTATTTATTTTTATATTATTTAAAATATTTAATGGCTCGTACAATTAATTTTATCGTGATCGGTAAAAAGAAGGTTTGCAAATTGTTTTTTTTTCTTTTACCATTAAGCCAAAATTTCATCAATAATAAAAATTAATTTAGTTATAGGATCCACTTATAAAATTTTTAATTTTATATTTTCTTGAGATCGTTGGATGAATGAAATTAAACAATTGAGATTATCTTATTATTTTAATTATTTTATTTTATCTTCTTCTCTAAAATATGAAAGTTTTAAAACTCACGAAATTCAACACAAATCTTAAAACTCATAAAGTCCCAAATCACTCTAATAGATAATATCTACAATCCAATCAGCGTAGAATTAAGATATATAACTTGTCTCCTCCTTCTCCACCTTTTCATCATTTTGATGTAGAAGAAGATGTTTAACAGTCGAAAAATCAAAGGAACTCTTAAACCAGGAGTTTTTTCATATAAAATAAAAAAGATTAAAACCATTTCATAACATCGTTGAAGTATTTAACGATTGAATGATCAAAATATAAGTAAATTGAAAATTTAATGATTAATTAAAAAAATAAACTTAAGTCCTTATAATTTAAATGTTATTTAAGTTAGGTCTTATCCCTTAAAAATAGTTTAAATACTATTTAAGCCCCAAATTTACTTTATCCTTCTAACATCTTAATTCTGTCCATAAATACATATAATAATATAATTCATTATATATTATCATCAATTACTGACCTCGTATAATTTCATACATAATTATTTTAATTATATACTCATGTGACGTGAAAAACTACTGTATTTAATTATGAACTAAGCTTTCTCACTTATTACATGGATGTTTGTTATTTTTAAAGATTTCAGGTTCGAGTACCAGAAATTGTAAGAGTGTTTGAGTTTTCATTGTTAAATGATGGAGACTTTTAAAACAGATATTATCTTGTATTCAACTTAGATTAATAAAAAATATACATATTATTTGTATGAATAAAGAGACTTCACTTGTTAAAGGGGTGTTTGTTGATCTTATAGGTATTAGGTTCAAGCTAGGGATGAGCATGAGACTCGAACTCGACGAGTTCTGACCCGACCCGATCGGGTTAGATTTTTTTAAAAAATATTCGAGGTCGGGTCGGATTTTTTAAGTGTAATATTCGGGTCGGGTTCAGGTTTAGGGAGAAAAATACCCGAGCCGACCCGAAAAAAATATAATTTTACCTTATATATTTAGGAATAATTACAATAATACCCCTCTATATAATTTTTTTTCAATTAAGTCACTGTTTTTATTTAATAATTTTTTTTATTATTTCGGGTTGTGTTCGGGTCGGGTGAAACCTTGTTTTGGTAGGATCAGGTCGGGTCTCAGGTGGAGGCTCACTTATTCTCGGGTCGGGTGGGGTGGACCAAAAATCCGACCCATACCCATTCTTAATTCCAGCATATAATTTATAAAATTGTTTAAGCATTTACTATTAAATGAGTAAAAATCTTTCATATATATCCTACCATGTAATCGTAATATATTAATAAAAAAGAGTAGGTGGATATATGGTCAAATAAAGAAGCAAAAGCAAATGACACATATCACCTCAAAGGTTTCCTTTAAAGATTTCAACAAAAGCTGCGGTTTGATGTTGTTTTTCGGCGACAAAAGAAGGGACAACTCCAACTAATCTTCACAAACATTTGCTATTTGATATTTGCTGTTTGCCAACTCCCCCATTACTCTTGTTTTGGCTACTTGTTATTACAAGTTGGGTTAGTTAAATTTCTTCATCTAAAATGTTGGATCATGTTTATTTTCTTTCCTTATTGTGGTGTTAGGAAAAGGTTGCATTCAAGATCACCAAGAACAAGAAGATTTCCACAATCTTTCCCAATAATATTGTTGCCTTCCTTTTAAAGATGAATGTAACAAGGAGGAGAGTTCATTAGGGGTCAAATGATATGTTTTAATTAAATTATCGATTAGGTTCAGTTTGGTCATATATTTTTATTATTCTTTAGATGACGGTGATGATGATAAGAATGCATAATGCATTATTTGTCAAACGGTTGAGAATTTTTAAAACAGATATATTGGATGTAATGATAAGATATATTGTACAAATTGCATGAGGGTATTTAAACTATGATCTAAATTTTAAATTAGTCTATATACTTTAAATGATTTTAATCGAGTCCTCGAAATATTAGTATTTCATCAATTTCTAGATACTTCCATAACAAGGGATTAAGGTGGTGTTTGTTTTTGCAGAGGTAAAATGTCTGCAGTATGCGGACCACATCTGCAGGCATCTGCAGCAAAAGAGGTGGACCAAAAGTCTGTAGTCTGCAAGAATAATATTGTTTGTTTTTTAACGTCTGCAGACTGTTAAAATAAACTGAAATATAAATAAACTGATTTTTTAAACTTAAAAGAGTTTTGTAATACTGAGATTTAAATAATTTTAGTTTTACAATACTGAAATTTAATTCATACAACTACAATAATAAATTTTTTAGAAAAACAAACATCGCCTTATTAATTCTATTATAAGTCTCACATAATCACATGTATTATTAGTTTTATAAGTTTTATAGAATAAAATTTACAAATGATCATTAAATTATATGATTTTTTTTAAATATGCAATTATGTAATACTTTTAATTTTTTAAAATATATATTCATAATTTATTTTTATAATTATATGATATTTTTAGAAAATATTTTTTAATTTATCAAATTATTTTATGATTATTTTTTATTTAATTGTGATTATATTTTTAAATTTTAAAAACATAATTTATAATTTTTTATATTTTAAAATATTAATTATCAAACAATGAAATCATTTTTATTAAGCAATGTGGTTTAAATACATACATTTTGTATAAAAAGTTTAAATAAAATTTAAAAATAACAAATCCAAAAAAATATTATATTTAAAAATCAAAATAATTAAAATAAATATAAAATTTTAATAATATATAAAATAATTTATATGATATAAAATTAAATATCTATAATATAATATTAAAAAATTAATATTTAATTTATTTAAAAATTTAATATTAAAATTAAAATCAAATATAATATTAAAAAATATTATTTAATTTATTTAAAAATTAATATTAAAATTAAAATCAAATATAATGTAAAATTAAATATAAAACCTCTTTGAAGAGGTTAGAAGACGTCTGCAGACATAAGACCACGGCTGCGCCACGCAGACCATGGCTGCGCCACGCAGACCACGCGCAGACGTTAGAAGAGCTTCTGTCTTCTAAAAACCAAACGGTCTACGAAACTCAATGTCTGCGTGTGGTCTGCGCGGCGCAGACATAAGAGCTTTGCAAACCTTACACAGTAAAAACAAACGCCACCTAAATGTCACCTTGAATCTGATGCATAGCATATTTTAAACACCAAACTAATTTTAAATGTTATATAACTATTGCATTAACAACTTAAATTTTACATGTCAAAGCATTATTTATGTTCTTAACATATCATATCCAGAGTTTTAAATCACGATCCGAAAAACGTAATAGCACCCGCAAAATAGTGGTTTCGCCGCCGTTCGAGTTACCCGCTACACCCGCAATAGCGCCCGCGACGGCCACAATCACAGTAAACCCAAAATAACCAAAAAACGCGACCGCGACTGCAATTTGAAACCCTAATCATATCCAAGCTCTACATGTAAGTACATAATACTTAAATCTTGCTTCATGCATTTTAGATACATTCCATGTCCGATCTGAACTAATATTTAACGTTTAAACTGACGACTAAAATGATAAAATAATATCTGATTGATACAATACCAATAATTCGGATCCATGAATAGAAAGAAGGGGAAGAAAACAATGGGGGATGGGGGAAGGTAGCTAGACAAAAGAATCAATGGTGGGACACAAAGACAAGGACTTGCAAGAAACTATGCCAACGGCATTGAGAAGGAAACTATGATTTATGTCATTTTCTTTCTCGTTAATTTGTTCGTTATTTAATTTGTTTTTTTTAAAAGAAACCCTAGAATTTATAAGCTTCTTAGAACAAAGTTACTTTAGGTTTAATTAAATTATAAAATAATGTTGAAG